GTACACTACGAAAACAACAAAATAAATTATTCACAAACAATGATAAACTTTTCTACAGACAAATCAGTACCAAAACAAACACCGATACACAGCACAGTGGCACACCAACAGAAGAACTCACAACTTATTGGTCTTCTCTTTGGTCCAATGATGTTACACACAATGCTGATGCAGGCTGAATCAAGGAGGAGAACAAAAACTTGCACAACATACCAACTATGCCCTCCCTGTGCTGAAATAAACATACACAACAATCCGCTATGCTGTTAACAGAACACACAACTGGAAGACACCTGGTGTAGACAACATTCACAATTTCTGGTACAAAAAGTTTACATCACTGCACCAGGAACTAGCTAAACATCTAACANAAGAAAGATACAGTATAATCAAGAAGACTCAAGCAGCTTAAGGAGTAACAAAAATCACATCTGAGAAATAAAGAACATTGATGAGCTCATAATTGAACCTAAAACTGATCTGATGACAGAATGCCAAGAACTCTTGAATGAAGAATGCCAAGAAACTCGGTGAGATATGTTTTCTTTGAAAAAAAGGATTAATGCCGATATCTGCTATTAAACATCTTTTGAAGAAGTGGGAGGATGCCAGAACAACGGTCTTAGAATGGTATCCAAACCAGGTTGAGGATAATAAGCTTGGGGATCTCTACAATTACAATGCTATTAATTACTTCTGAAAAATCCTGAAGAAGAGAGAAAAGCAATTGACATTAGACACATTCTTTAACCCCCACAAATGGAAATAAACATGACTAATAAAAATGCAAGACTGTGTATATATGTATTTTTATTATTACATATAAATAAACATAGTAAGAAAGTATATATTTTTTATTTTTTGGAGTTTCCAGAACGAATTAATCAAATTGCCATAAAAACCTATGGTAAATCGATGATCNGTATTTTTATTATTACATATAAATAAACATAGTAAGAAAGTATATATTTTTTATTTTTTGGAGTTTCCAGAACGAATTAATCAAATTGCCATAAAAACCTATGGTAAATCGATGATCAGTTAACGAACAATTTGGATAGTGAACAACGTCTTGGAATGGATTATGTTTGTTAACCAATCACCCATTGTATTGATTAACTTATACAATGCTTAATTATAGAGCTATTTATAATTGATAAGCTTTTATTTTTTTTAATATAAGATATACAACATATTTAAACATGAACTTAAAAAGTAGAATTTCAACTTTATCGTATTGAAATATTTTTAATCTTACATGATACAATGAATTACATGTTAATGTTAATAAAAAAAAATTTATATCCATTCGTTAGAATTTTGATGACAGAGAAGACACAAGTCTTCTTCAAAGCCATTTGAATTTGAACAATATTCAAGATATAAATGTATTATAATGAATTAGAATGCTGAATACAGTAAATTATGTGCATTATTCGAGTGAGAATAGTTGTATATATTTGGAATTAGATCTATAGATCAGAGTTGTCCATCCTTTTTTCCTAATGGGCCAAATTAGAAATTTACATATATTCAGTAGGCCACAAAGTACTTTATATAAATATATATTTTTAAAAAGTTCAAAATGTGATTATCAAATTTTAATAACAAATATATATATATATATATATATAGAGTAATTACAAAAAAATACTGTATTATTTATTGACAGTAAAAAAAGAAATTATACTCACACAAAATAAAAATAAATTCAATGAGATTTTTGACATTGCCTTCCTTTTATAATAATGTCAACATCTGCTTTTATGATACTAGTCATAATTGTAAGAATGTTAGTTAAATGGAAATCACTCAACCTATTTCTTTCAGCAGTTTTGATGTTTTTCATGCACGAAAAGAATTGTTTGCAACAGTATGTACTACGCCACATGCATAACAGTTTTCTAGATAAAACAATTTTCTAGTAGCAATTACGTCATTATGACATAAAAGTGCATCTAGTGAAACAAGAATAATTTCTACAACATATTTTACTAAAATAAATGAAAATGTACCTAAAAAATTTAGGGTGCCATGGGTTGGACAACTAGAAGCTGAATTTATGAGTTTTTGGAAACAATTATGAAATTAAATCAGATTGTCTTGATTCTAATTTATTGCAATGATGATAAAACGTTAGCTGCATACATTTTACATTAACTGTTTTTTGTTCATATTTGCTTTTTCTATTATTGAAATTCTTTTAAATAAAATTTTAAAAAATACTCTGGTGTTTTTAAAATGCTTCTAATGAAGAACTGAATTTCTAACATCAATAGTTGATGATTTATTACTTTAAAATATGCAACTATAAGAAAAATTATTAAAGAAAGATTATACATAATGAAATTAAAATAAGAATTTTTGAATAACCAGCATTTTTGTGTATGTACAGTGGTAAATATGACAATTTCCTAATTGCTTAAACTTTTAATTTTTCTGGATAATAAAAGTATGACAATTGGATGGCCAAATTGTTAAGCTATCAGGGAACCATGTACTACTATTGGGGACCAGACAATGAAACCAGATGGATTGAAAAACTTCAGGAATTTTTCAGGGCTAAGGTAGTCTGATTAATTAAGGAGGAGCAGCCTAATGAAGAGGGTTGTCCCTCTTCATTAGGCTGCCCCTCTTAATTAATTAAAAGTATCCTCAGTGTCACAGAGCAGAGAGTAAAAAAAAATATAACTATTCAATATTATATAACTTTTTATACAATTTATATAATTTTTTATATAACTATTAAAAAGAAAATTAACTATTCAATGTAATATTAAAATGTAAATAAAATAATTTTTATAATTTAAGGAGGTATTAATTTTTGTCATCATTAAAAAATAAAATTATGTATTTTCTAGTGTTTTTATTTTCAAACTGAAGAAGAATTTGATAGCTGGTGTGTTCAAGTGCATAAGGTAGGATGGAAAAAACAAGTTAAGTATTTTTTTCCACAAAATCCTATTTTATTAGAAATACAGTATGTAAATAGCAAACATTACTTGATCATTTTTATTGATTTATTTAAAAATAAAACAGATATAAATGGATATATAAAAACAGCATTACAGAATAAAAAAAAAATCAATGAATGTATACACTGTATATCAGAATTTAATTTTTTGTTGTAGTTTTTAATTGCTGCAGAGACTCAGCCTTTGTTTGAACTTAGCAAAGAAAGACCGCTCCATTGGCCACCTCTTCAAGTAGCTGATGATAAACAAGCAGATAGCAGTCTAGGTTTGTATTGTTTTTCATTTTAGAAAAGTAGCTATTTGTTTATACAGCAACACCTCAAATTTTTTTTTAATTTCAGAATTTACATTTGTAGAAGAGAGAGCATTTGAAGCATCTGATGATGAATTTGAAATTTTATAAAATATTATATGTAAATTTTTAAAATTACCATGTACAGTACATGCCTGTATCTATATATATATTTGAATTTGTTTTAAAACTCTTATATTGTAAAAGTTGTATAAAAATAAAAACACACACATTTTAATACACAAGATAACATTTGCTCTTTAATAAAAATTTCTATATACAAAGATTTAATGATAAAAAACAACAATGTACAGGAATCATGCTCATTGCTAACATTAAAAAATAGTGCAGTTGCAAACAAGTGTAGTTTTATATTCTACCATTTTATCAAAATGACACTCTAAAATTTAAATCATTCAGGTTCAAGGCTAACAGAATAAAAAATAAAATATATATAAGGAAAAATGAATATAATATTTTAGACAAATAAAAAATATGACAAACACATTCGATAGTGTACAGTACATTCCAATATCAAATGGAAGTTGCAATTGCTGAAAAACAGCACATCATCATTATTAAATGCCACAAATTAATTTTTGCATTGTCAGAGCTGTAAAAGCTCTAAAATATATATATATATATATTTTTTTTCAACGTAAGCAATTTAGTCAAAACTGCATAATTTTTTTTCTTTTTAGTTTATGACAAAATTGCATTGTTATATTTACAACAAATATTTTATTAAATTCCTCTAAGCAAAAGAACATATATCAACTTTAATAATTCAAAAGTATGAAAATAAAGTTTCTTTTAAAAATATATAATTTTTTTTATGAATGAAGAAAGCAATTTAAGTCCATAATTTGTTAAAATGCTAAACCTTTGACTATCATAACTTGTGCCTCTAGAAAAGGCATCTCAATATCACATTAGTTATTACTTAGAGTATGTGGTAACAGTTTGTTTCTATACACTTGCTATATCAATCTGGACTCCTAATCCATTAATTCAATGCTCAACATTCTAAACTTCAGATATTTTAGCACCTTATATAATTCTATATTTGAATGTTACTTGTACTAGATAATTGTTAAATTTACCCTTCCTTGGTGGTGATAAACATTGTTGAATGACTGAGTGGAATAAAATTATACTTCAAACAAAATTAGCAATCAGAACAAACTTGATAAGACATGCAAATATTAAATGAAACTGAAAAATTCATTAATATAAAGAAAGGAAAACTTACATGTGTAATATTTATAGAATGCTATTTATCAATATAATTAATCAGTTAAGGTGACAATTCAAGTAAAAATAAATACTTTTCATCTTTTTTATAAAGTGTATAAAAAGATGCCAAATATTTTTTAGTAGAAATAAATGAATTCATTTATTCAATTTATTGTTCTTTTACCAAATCTTTTTCACATTGAATATAGAATTGCAAAAGAGTAAAACTCAAATAAAAGGCATAAAAACTCAAATATTTGTCTTAATAGTTAACTATTCAGCAAACATCTATGATGTAATAAAATAGAATATGCACTAAATAATAAAGTATATAATGCAATAATTTTTATATTTATTTCCACATTTTGGTTATTATATTATTTAAGTGTTATTTTTGCTGTAAAACAAATTTGTTGTTCTGAAATTATTAATTGGAGTAAAGGTCAAATGATTGTCAAAGTAAAAAATATTAGCAAAAAAATACATAGTTACTACATTATAAAAATATATCCCACTCAGCCACGGAAGAGTTAAAACCTAATTTAGAGCTTTAAAAACAAGACTTAAAAGTGTTCTAAACCTATTATGGAATTGTAATAAATATTCTAGCACATTGCCACCGTATGGTTTCAATATCTAATTTGTAAGATTAAGATTAGAAACATGTAAAACAAATATCAAACAAAATGTATCAAATTATTTACATGACAGATTCAATATAGACAGTTAAAACTTATAGCTTTCTAGACAAATAACTTAAAAAGGATATTTAAATAAATTACAATAACTTCTAGTTCTATTCACACATAACATGCAAAATATTTTCATACAGAAATCATACAATCTAAAACCAAACATTTTTTTGCTAAATAGCAAGTAAAATTTATGTGTATGTATATACTGCAATTTATTCTTCTCTCTTCTCTGAACTCTTTGACTGATAACTCCGAAAATCCACTACCATGACAGTAATGTTGTCTACTGATCCCCGCCGATAGGCTTGATAGACTAGACTTTTAGCACCCAGATGAGTTTCATTCAAATTTTCATTTATGTGAGCTACTGCTTCTTCATTTGTAAAAGTGTCCCATAACCCATCCGTAGCCAAAATCATAAATTTTGGTTTCAAGTCATCCAAATTAAAGGTTAATATATCTGGTTCTGCAATGATAAGTTTACGATCCTTTAGAGGAAAGTCTCCAAGTGCTCGGGATGTGGCTAAAATTCCAGCAACTCTCCACACGCCGTTAAATGTGATAAAACCTCCCGCTTCTTTAATGCGCCTATGCTCTTTCAACTGAAAAAAATGAAGTAATTCAATGAACAAAATTTATAAAAATATCAGGTTTCCCTTAAAATTTTAAAGTGCATTTCTTCTAAACAAAAAAAAAAATTACTTAAGAATATCTTAAAATATTTTTTTAAGAAACTGTATTATTTCATATTCATTGATTAATTAATTAATTCATAATTTGAATTACCTGTTGTGGTTTGTGATCAAACGAAAGTGGTATAGCAGTTCCTTTACTGTCACAAACTACACCACGAGAATCACCAACATTTGCCACAATCAATTGATTATTATATACAAGAGCAACTAGAGCAGTAGTACCTGAAAATAGACTGATTAATATCTTAAAATACATTTTCATTTTCTAATAACTATTTAATGCATACAGATTAAAGTAAATTTTGTTCAAATGATTTTTTTCCTAACATTGTCATAATAAAATTGCATCGTATTGACAACTAATTGCATGACTTGCAAAATATCTATGATTAATGAAGTCGAGTCCTTTGGATTCTCTCCAAAAAGGTGATAAAACAGGAAAGAATTCTGAAATTTTTTCATTTTGTATTCAATATTAAAAAAATTAACAGCTATTTTATATGAATGATAATAAAAAGCAGATATGCATATTTTTATGTTTTGTATTCTGTGAATATTTTGTCGAACCGATTTTGATGATTATATATTTATCGTAAAAATCTGATTCTTAAATTTCCCATAAAAACAAATGACTTAATAATTAATAAAAATTTTAAAATAATTTAATACTAATGATGCTATAGATGTGCTATTATAAATATACATATAAAACACATTTTGTAAGTTACTAGATCATTGCCAACTTTAATTGAAATTCATTCAAAAAGTTATTAAAAGAGATGGAGATGTAAAAAAAAGATAGATAAACTAAATAATATTTTTGACAAATTACTTAAAACTGAATAAAAAAAAGGGATTTGATGTAGAAAATGCAAAAAAGAAGGAAAAAGATGATGTTTTTAAGAAAACAAGTTTTATTTAAAGATTATAAAAAGGAAAGTGGAGTATAGTATGAAGTTTAAAAAGAAAAAGTTCAGCCTGATTGTAAGGTATCTGGGTCACCTTCAGAGATCAGAAAATCTGGGTCAGTTGGTATTCATGTCTGCATTAAATGTCCTTCACCTTCAGAGTTCATAAAACTTGTTTAGCAAAATCTTGTTTATTATACTGATATCTAATTATATAATTCTGTATTGTAAATATTAATTCGTGATTGTTTCAAATAATTAATAAATTACTTTCACTCAATATTATATATTTTGTTGGAAATTCTGAAATACTACTACATAATAAAATTTTTACCAGCAACATCTCTTGATGCTTTTGCTTTATTCAAAAGTTGTTCGTCTATGGTTAAGATTTCCTCCGTAAGGAGTCGAGAAAATTCGCTTGTTAGTGCCGGGAAAGTTAGGCCGTTGGCATTTTCTTGTTTTTCGTCTTGAGTTTTCGTTATTTTGACTGAAGCTCTTCTATTGATGTGGTTATGACCTTTTGCGGTCTGAAGCTTCTTAATCAGTGTCTTGAAAAGATTTTTCTCTACAAATTCTGCAGCGGACTATAAATTAAAACATAAACTATTTACGGAAAAAAATAAAATCTACTCAAAAATATATTATTTTTATTAATTAAAGCAAAATTTTATTATCTCAATCACCAAATTCAATTTTGGGGTTTAATTTGAATAATTGGCCAACACTGCAAAGGATAATTTTATCAAATTAAATGAAAGATTTTAATTTTAGTTCTCTCTGTTGTTAATCATATCAAATTCAGTAAAATTTATATCAAATTCTAATACAGATCAACTTTATTAGTGAAAATTTTAATAGGTTAATTTTTAGAGTTAAATTGCATTAAATATAGCTAAAAATAGCATAGAAATAATTTAAAAAGACCAAATATAAATAAGCTCTTTGTTTCATGATATATTTTATAAACACACACTGTTTCTTCATTCATAAATGATTATTTTTTAACTGTTTTATTTGCAATTTTTTATTATATTTTAGATCATAATTCTGAAAACACACTTTAAAGATAAAATAAAAGGAAAAAGTTATTACCAAATTACATGATTAATCTCAAAAAGTCAATATACTTAAAGTATTTGTTTATCAGTAAGTTATTTTAAATCATTTTATAAAAATTATATCACCACCTCCACAATTTATAGTAGTTATGAGATGTAACTACAACTGCCATTTGTAGTTATAGATGTTAAGTTTCGGTTATAAGAAAAATAAACAAATTACATTTCTACACACATGCAAATACTTTAAAATTTCAGAAAACATTAGAAAAAAACACTGCCTTTATTCAAATCTAAAGTGAAATAATGTATTATTATTATTATTATTATTTTATTGTACAGATAAAATATTAATAGTTAAATAAATTATGGCCATACCTTCAAACTAAAATATCTGAGTATATTAATATAGTGTATAAATTTATTTGTAACCAAGATTTAAAATTATTGAAAGGGGAATTGGTAGACAATAAAGATATTTAGAAGAATTAAAACAGTGGACAATACAGAAGTGATATTGAAATAGCTGAATAGACATAGAAGTGGTAATCATACAATGTGAGAATTTATAAATAGAGAATATTCAGATGGGATATTGTGTTCAATGTCATCTGCACATCTGGTCATGTATGAGAGATTTTGTGATAAAAAAATATGTAATTTTTTTTTATCACAAATTCTCTTTCAAACAGTATATTTTGTAGAATAATGCTGAGTCTAACTTTTAAGCATTAGCAATACATAAAACTCATTTACACATTTGCAAAACATTATATTTGAGCTTTATTACAGAAATTAATATTAATTCTGATTCAGAGAGAATTTTATTTTTCTGTCATGCTTTAAATGAACAATAATGAACAATTTATATGCAATAATAGCATATTACTTAGGAAACTGCAAAATATAGGTAGTAATTAGATTGAAATTTATAAAAATGCAATGTTAAATGGCAATTATCGTCATTTAGTAGTATGAAAAAATCAAAATTTAAAGCCACATAAAATGAGACACAATAATATGATATTTCAACTCATTCCAAAGTATTAGAGCAACGTTTAGGACTTTCTCAAAATAATGTTGGAAAGCATACAAAATGATTAAATTTAATTTCTAAAAACATAAATCTTTATTATATTTTAATTACTTTCTAGTGAACAAAATTATAGATATAATCTTAAAAACAAGATTGCAAATGCATTAATAAAATTGCCTTGTTTTATTAGTATAAAGTAATTACTATTCGTGCCTTCAAAACAATATTTTACATTTGTTCTTTTATTAAGTTTTGTGATTTATGCACACTACATTACAAAATTAATCTTAATTAATTGCTTCATCATATCAATGATTTAAATTTATATATTTTTCTTGTTGAATTAAATGAGATCCAAAATAAAATAAGTTTAAAGATTTTGAGATCTTTCTGTATATAACTTGTGTGTTTGAACAGATGAACAAACAAAGCTTTGTGCAATTTAATCACACAATTAAAGCTTGAAATTTGAATTATGCATTCAAATTCCAAATTCTATAAGTTAATATATACTTTATGATAAAATGATTCCAACCACTAAATAATATTTGAACTTTGTATTATTCTATTATAGCAACAGTATAAAAAGATTAAAATCTGAAACACAAATAAAATATATACAGTTTTAAAATTAAGTAAGAATATTACAATGCACTAATAGTTCAATCAATTATTTTGTAGTTCATGGTATTTTGAAAATTAGTAAATTATTATTCAGAGCAAATGTTTTTGTGCAATGATGCAAGGCCCCAACCACTCATATACATCTAAATATAGATATGCTACATTAAAAGGAATAAAATACATTAAAGTGGAGCAAGATCCAGTTCTACAATAAGTTTGTTCAAACCATTGTACAGTACATAGTTTAAAAATAAAATTCTTAAGAAGTCAAACAAAATTTAAACTCCGTTTATGTAAGAATATTTCGCTTTATATAAAGTGTTGTAATTACAACTTTTGTAACAAACTGCACAGCTAAAAATATTCGTTTAAAATTGCCCGTTATTTTTATAAATCGAATATGTAAAAACTTTTACCATAGAAATTTTGGAATTAATTTTTCTTTACTTTTATACTGAATTTGATTATTTATGCAAAATGTCAATAGATACAGACAAAGATTAAATAATTAAGCATTTGGAGATTCAATCATTCCGGTTATTAGTCACACTCTCTTACTTCCAACTGAACCAGTTGTATAATTTACACTAGAAATGTTTTAAAACTTATACAGCCAGTATGTTAGTCTGTGTGTATTAAAACTGATATTAGATTGAATTTTTTAGTGGATTTTGAAAGTATGATGTTTTAGAAGTAAGGGTTGGATTTTGAAAGGATAGATCTCACCTCTCCACCGTGTCCGTCGAAGATGCCGTAGAGCGAGATGCCGTTTTCGGGATCGCTGACCAGTTGGTATCTATCCTCCATCTTCGCCCTCCTCCCTTGGATAGCATAGACGGCAGCGTCGTCTCCATCCACTTCCCAAGTAGCATTATCGCTTCCTTGAGGCGAATTAACAAAAAGATGAAACCGTCCCTTCCCAGCTGCATTTAGCTGCGCTGCCAAATGGAATTTATTCAAAAAATTGATATTCCAAACTTCGCACGACTGCAACAATAGAACTACGGCTACGACCGCTAGACTGACGATTAACGTTTCCGGCCTTAGAAGATTACGAAAAAATACCGCAAAAGACGTCCAATTTAATGGGAAATTAATAATAAAGCGCGACATCGTCTTTAATTGAGACAATACGACGATTTCTTCTTCTAATTCGTTTTCCATCTTTTAGCTGGCAGCGAGTTTGCGCAGTGAAACATGAAGCGAAGAATAGATTATTACGTCATATGGAATTTCGTCGTGTTAATTTCTTTAATATCTTTTATAGTTTACTTTATCCGTTTACTTTTTCATATCTGGTTAAATGGATAAATTAATTGATGAAATTCGTCCGATACGGATATATAATTCATCGCAATTGAGTGTCTCGTGCCGTTCTATTTATATTTAGTGCCAATGACGTTGGCTCCATTCAAGGTATCGTTTACGTTTCCAAAATACACGTTCAAGTAACTTTTGTCGATCTACAAAAAACAGGACTTAATGAAATGTTTAGAATCTACCAAACTCTAAAAGAATATCAATTATTTTAGTTATAAATCTCCAAAGTTTACTTTCTTAGTGAAAGAGAAAGTTGTGATGTCAACAAGCACGTGCTCAACTTATAATGAATCTGCTCAACATTATGAATTTCAATTCGCCTCTTATTTAAAAATATAAATGGAAGTAGCTTAATGATTTAACAGTAGACTTAAAATATCTTTGGAAGTATATTTAGCTTATATTTTAAATGGAAACTGAAAAAAAGCATGTTTCAATTTAACACTGAAGTTTTAATATGTCAATTTATTGATTATTATTAACAGGAATAAAAGCTATATGTATTTCTTAACTGATTTTTGTAATCAGTTATGAGTTCAGTAACACTGTTAAGATAAATAAACTTGGTTTAATGTACTTGATTAACCATGATACATTTTATAATTGTAGGTTAGAGTTTTTGATCTGAGATAAAAAAGTTAAAGGAAAATTAAACTTGTTAATCTAGTTTTTAAACTTAGTTATATATATTAGAATTAAATATACTGATAAAATTAAATACTGAAGTTGAATAATGTAGTGACTGAATGTGATGCAATTAAGATTTGGATTGAAAAATAGACTCTTATTAAAAATTGCTTTACTAAGAACTAAAGTAGTACTTCAGAGCTCTAACTTAATTAATAGAAACTAATGATAATAGTAAATAACTATAAAAAAAATCACAATTGTCTAATTTTTTTGCAATAGAAATAATACTGCTGTATAAGCTATATTTCAAAGAATAAACTAATATGAAGATATTTATTTATTTTTTAATTAAAATAAAAAATATATATTGTTGAGTTTGAAAACATCTAAGTTCAAAAAAATAAATTGTTTTTATTCATTATATCTAATATAAGATTTCATATATTGTATTAATATATTACTTTATATCTAATTTTTATTTTGGTTTTATCTGATGATAATGGGAATATAAAATTTTATATTGTTATTTTTATTATCTCAGTTTTCATGTACAACTGTTTTATTAGAAAGTCTGCTAAATTATATTTTTAAAATATTTCTATAGCCTAACTTAAGAAAGATATAATTTTCATATTTTATATTTTTAAAAATCAATATAATNGGGACTTAAGCCCCCATCGACACAAAAATATTAAATTTTATTTGTTCGAATTTCAAAACGTTTTTAAGAACATTTATGATGACGAATTTGGTTTATCTGTGTCAAATTATTTCAAATAAAAATATTCAGGAATAAATGTTTATTTAGTTCAATACATAATTATTTGTGTAATAGTCACAAATAAATAACTTGTAACAATAAGGATGAATAAGTAAGAACTTTTAGTTTTCTAAGTTTCAATCAAAAAAACATTAAAATGTGTTACTATATTTTTCAATAGTAAAAGATTTTAAGATTTTAGTTAAAATAATCATTAGATTCATAATCAGTTTTTGGGCTAGATCTCAATCAGTATTTCTAGCTTGATCTAATTAATTTTGATTTATATTTAAACCTGAATATCTTAATTTATCCTCAGGAAATTAATATTTATTTCTCGAGGTTTTCTGTTATGATCTACTTTGTATATTTATCATTCTTACAGTATTAATATGATATTATGTGATGAAAACAATTTTTAAGGCTATATTCTTGTAATATAATGTAATGTTACATTTTTTCAATTGCTCAGGGCTTTATTATATTTAAATGTATTATAAATTTTCATGTAAATTCTATATTAAAGTTGTTATTGCCCAACAGTTGAATTGAACATAATAAAAATCCTTATGTATGTAAAAAATTAATAGGAATAAAAAGTTTCAATACTAGGATTCTTTTTTTATAATACTGTTTATTTAAGTGGTAATATATCTAATAAGCTGAAGCTGTCAATTCAAATATTGTAAATCTTATAAAATAAATAACAGAAATTTGCTACTTAATCTAACTTATTACAAAAAATACCAGAAACTATAATATATTAAAACCTTAAACAGATGCATTTTAGTCTATTAATTTTTGTTAGGTAATTAAGTAAACAATATATAACAGAGCATTTATTAAAAATTTTGAATTTATACTTACTATTAGTTCATAATAATTATAATTAAGAAATTTTTGAGTTATGTAACTTTTGTTTTAACATGTTACTTTAATGTCAGGATCAAGAAAATAAAATTTTTACTAATTGTAATCTTATTTATTTATCCCTGCTTAATGTTATCCTTCGATTATTATTATCAGTGTAGTCGAGTCACTAGTACAGTACTTACAATAATACTGAAGTTTTAGATCAGCTCAGATACTGTAATTTCAGCGGATAACCTACGTGTTATCTGTGTTTGAAAGGTATGTGGATTATACTCCAATGTTAATTTCCAGCCACGAGTTACAGTTTGCTTATATGGTTTACCAGTAGCATGCAACCAATCCACTGGACCAACAATTATCTATTCATACGTTCGCAAGAAATGATACCAAGTGTTTAACTATACTCCACACTGTTTTTACAACCCTACGTATTTCGATAGATTACTATTTAATTTTTTAATACAATAAAACCAATAATTTCATAAATGCGGCCAACTCTAAATAATTTTATTGAGGCGGAGCGTTAGCGAATTCTCTGCTATGTGGCTTTAGAATTGAGTTCGTTCTCAAAATTTGATCCGTCGATTTTGATTAAACGTTCTCATTTTACATATCAGATGAGGAAATTAAAAACGTAATAAAAATTGGAAGTCCGTAATTTAATTTTCAAGATACAGTGGGACCAAAGTGACAATGTCCAAGGTCATGCCCGCCGGTGGCTGAGTGGATAAAACAACTGAACACTGGTGATTAGTCGTTGGTACGTGTAGTTTTCCGGATTTTCTTCATGTTTCTGACACCTAAATAAGGGCCAATTTTCCATATAAAGTCCTACCGGAAGACATTTCCCTCGGCAGATTGCTCACATGTCGCGTTGCCATATACAAATAAACTAAACCTAAACCAAGGTCTCTAGAATGAGCGTGAGCAATTTTTTTAAAATTCTTTTTTATGCCAACGACGACACCACTGTTGTAACGGCAAGTAATCGTTGTAGATGATCCCGAAACAATATTCTAGACTTGTTAGCGTTTCGATTCAATTTTTAGTTCGTGTTCGGACAGAAAACGGACTGTACTATACCTAATACCTTAGGATTATTCGAAAAAAGTAGACATCTTTTATCTTTAAAACAACTACATTTCCGACTGACATTTCCGATTTTAATGGTTTATGGTTGTATTGTTTAGACACTTCCTGACTGTGAGACATATTTTTTGAGTGAAATCATATTTTCTCGAAAAGTTAAATATAACTTTTGGAGAAGTGGTATACCTCTTTATAATGATGCTCTTGGCTATGATGTATTGAGAGAATAAGGTTGAATCTTGTATAATTCATATACAAGAAATGTTTAATACTAAAATTTATCTAACATCTCAGAGACATTTTTAAACACTATTGTCAGATAGTGGCGGATTCAAGGGAAGGGCAATAGGGACTTAAGCCCCCATCGACACAAAAATATTAAATTTTATTTGTTCGAATTTCAAAACGTTTTTAAGAACATTTATGATGACGAATTTGGTTTATCTGACCGTCCGCAATACAATCGCTGTGCATATGTTAATAAAAGCTATTTATCAATTATTCAAATATTTAAAATTTTTGAATAATTAGTTAGTACTTTTTATAAAATGCTCAAGTAGTTTTAATTTTTTAGTTATTCCCCTTTGGGAGCTTCTAGATCCGCTACTGTTGTCAGATACTGTTATCACTACTATCATAAGTTGAATTAAGTTCTGCAATCGTCCTTTGTTGGCTGAAATTCTGTTGGCCTACAGATATCTAGAAATTTTAAGCCATATCGAATGCAAAGAACAGCATCAATAGTGTTACATATTAATCTATTACGTAATTTGCTTTTAACCAGGTTCATAGAAGAAAATGGCAATGTGGACAAGTTTAATGCAAATATATAGTTTCCATGTCTCCCATTGTCTGCAGCATCAGTATCATTTTTCACGTCCAACCAAAAGTATATACAATCCAAATATGTTCTGTGAATTTCGGAACCATTGATGATGTCTTCAATTCATCATATGCAGGAGAAGTAAGATTTAGGGAAACAGACTAACAAAAGCAATGAGTAATTTTAAGCAGAATACAACTACTTGCTATTTTATTTTTCTTAACAGAGGGCATTTTGTAGCAGAGATACAGTACAGTATTTATATAGGAGAAAACATTTATTTAAAAACCCCAAAATGCTTCGAAACTAGTATTAAATTTGTACTTTTTAATTTTTGACTCTCTGCTTTGTGGGCAGAAGAGGCCTCTTTCCAGGTACATAACGAGGGCAGCTACATGATAAGAAATGAGCCCGATCTATCCGGGACAGACCACCTTTTGAAAAATTTCTGAGGTTCTTCTTTCACTTGGATTCAATCCCGGGTTGCCCAGAACGACAGGTCAGTGGTTTAATCGTCTTACTCATCCGGATGGTTAATCTGTGAACATTACGACACATTCAGCTTAAAGAATGTGACATCTTTCACGGGGGTTGTTCAAAAAGTTTCATAACCAGAAGTCCAGGTGTATTGTGAAAAACGTCATAAACTGAAGGCTAAATACCAGTATTTCACACTGAAGGACAGCAGTAGACATTATGTTCTAGCAATTCCAATAGACTTCTTGCGTTCTGTGATAAAAATGCTGTTATGAAAATGGAAAACTGTCGACAACAATGGAGGCCACATTAAACATTTATAACACTGTTCAAGTAACTTACGGCCCACCAGTGGCCAAGAAGTTCCCTGAACACTAGAAGTCCGGTTGTGGGTTCGCGCCTCGCCAGGACATACAGTTTTCCGGGTTTTCTCCACGTCTGTAACGCCTGAATAGGGGCCAGTTTCGGCATCCCCTTAGGCAGATCGCCCAAGTGTTGCGTTGCCATAACTTAAACAATCGAGTAACTTATATTGTTGCAGTGCCACGCTATTTTTGGGCTAGTGATAATTATCTTTAGGCTACAAATCTTAATACGCTACTTTTTTATTTTCATATATAAAATCGCAAAACATTTATTGTATTATACAAAACTAATAAAGTTTTACTTAATTTCATTACATTTAATTGTATAAATAAAGTTGCAACGTTTAACAAAGATAAAGATACTTTGCTTCTGTTTTCCATCCGTCGTTTGCTCCAGTAGACAATCCACAAGCACGGAGGCGACCTTACTTGTGAAATTGTGGATTGTCTACTACCAGCATTATCCTGCAGGAACCACCAATTTTCTTTCTCAATAAGTGATCCAAAAGTTATTAAATTTTGATACAACAGTTCTTGATACAGTGGAAACACAGGGGACCTTAAAACTGAAAACAAAAGCCGCAGTCGCTAAGTTTCTACGTTCAAAAAATAAATCGCCTCGCCTGCGAATGACTCGCTTTGATTTAGAGAAAATTGATGCAGATACACCGAATGTATATATATATATTACAAACTTATTTCATTAGTAAAAGTGCATAGTTGTAAAATAATTCATTTTTATTGTTTGGACTACAAACAGTTCGAATCCGCTACTTTTGGAGCACAACCACGCTACTTTTTAACCTTCAGATCTGGCAACGCTGTAAAGAGTGAGACGCGGGGCGACGACGAGGGAGGAACCCGAGAAAAACTCAGTCAACAGAGATTCAGAGAAGTTGTATTAAAGAATTAGTACTATCGAGATATAAAGGAGGATTCGTATATGGATATTTTGTCGAAAGGTGTCCACGTGGTCAGGTTGTATTCTCTCAATTAACTGTGATAGACATCGCAAATTGCCCAATTCGCTAGACAAAGAAAAGGGATTCCCTTCTAACAATCTTCCTATCTTTCTCTAACCTAAGTAACATTAGTTTTAGTTTAATTTAAGTTAATTCTAATCTATATATATAAAAATGAATGTATGTCTGTCTGTCCTTCATGCATTACTACACCATTTATCCGATTGCCATGAAACTTTGGAAAGTTGTTTAATACAATCCCGCGAAGGTTTCTGGCATAGTACATTTATGCTACGATAGGTGGCGCGCGTGTATACGAGCATTTCATATATAAAGTTGACATGAAGAGTGCATACGCATAAGTTTGCTTTATTCGAACTTTTCGTCTTAAATGTTCGATTTTATGTTTGAATTTATATTTATGAATGATTCTGGAAGATCCAGCTTATTTTTTGAATTTAGTAAACCTGAAGAAGAACCCAGAAAGAGTTACAAAAACGTTTATTCATCACTTACAAGTTAGTGGTACCATGCACTGGTTAGTGGTTGCAGTGAGTCTTAATTATCGTTATCCCGGTGTGGTAAGCGGATATCTAAAAATTTTCTAATTAATCTCAGAAGAGAAGAGACATTCTTGCACTCGATAAAACGGGTAAGATCGGCTATAATCTAATAATCTTAATCTTCGCTATCAATACTTTTTTCCCGAGCAATGCCGAGCTCATCTGCTAGTTAGCAATATAAGACGATCCAAACGGATTGTGAACTGGCCAGTTTCGGAACTCACACGTGTAATTAGATCTACGAGCATTGTTAACGAGGAGAAATAAACGGTGAAAATTCTGTATTTTAAAAAGGTAATGTGTAATATTACGGACGGTTTCGAGATCTGTAATTTAAGTTGACTGGAAATAAATAGATACCATTATTGTATATTTGAAATACGTGATAGTCCTGTTTATATAATGTGGTTCTCATTAATCCGTCACACCACAATATATCTCTACAAGCGGCCGGATGGCCGAGCGGTCAAGGTGGCAGCCTACCGCTCTGGGGGACCCGGGCCCGAATCCGAACGGGTCGAAAAATCCCCAGGAATTTTTCGGGAGTTGTCCGTTCGGATATGTCGGGCCCCGACCCTCACCACCCGGCAGCTCCATTGTGGGCCTGGCCGAACCCATAATGGGCTTGCAAAAAGAGGTCCTCTTAGTGCCCACAGGGTGGAAAGAGTTAAAATATATATATATATATATATATATACAGTGTTGAATAGGCATACTTTAATTATGATCTTGTATTATTAGAAATTGAACTTCTTATACGAATTTGAAAAAATAAAGTATCCTAACTTGTTCAGTTTCATTGAATTTTCATACTTTTAAAACTTTGAAGACTTTTCCACTGCAGAAAGATGAAAATACAGTATTTAATTTTGTATTTTATGTTTTACTTGTATTCATTCTCATTTACGATTTAGATCTAGACTTAATTTTTGTTGTCATCAACTCTCATTTAAACCAGCCGCTTTCACTGAAGGTCATGCTTACCCAATGGGAGAAGGCCGGATGGCGGAGCGGTAAAGGTGGCAGCCCACAACTCTGGGAGATGAGATCGAAAAATCTCAATAATTTTTCGGGGTGATCTGTCCGGATATGTTGGATCCGTCCCTCACCACCCGGTCGCCTCATTACGGGGTGGCCAAACCAATAATGGGCTTACGAAAAAGGCCCTATTAATACCCACAGGGCGGAAAGAGTTAAAAAATAAACCCTTAATGGGGGAAATTATTGCCGATCATATAGTCCCAATGTACTGATTAGTTTAATCGAGGCCTCGTTTCAATCTTATAACTTATGTAAAACAAATTCGCTAAAATGCTATCTTACCAGTGTCCGAGTAAATAAAATCGCAAGGCTGGTCGTGGGTTCTCGCTTCACAATGGAATTGCCCACGTGTCTCTACGGAGGAACCATTTTTTAATTACTGTATTTTTCAGAGTTAATTTTAACAGTAATTTTTGAATGTTTTGTAGAAAGAGGACATTTTTTTAAGTAAAAAATAGGGACATTTTTCATCTTGGATATGTGTATCTTAGACCCAATGGCGCAACTTTCTGCATAGAGATTCTATGGCCTTTATATATTATATCAACAATATGATGAGAATTTAAATATGAAAAAAATAATTTAAATAATTTAAAAAGATATTTAAATTTTAGAGATAATTTATTTAAAAACTTGTCATTTTACTTGAAGAACGAGTGGTTACCATCATAGAAAAATATACAAAAATAATAAAGTGAAATAATAATCAATAATTTTTTTAAATATAAAAAATTATAGATGATTTTATTACATTTTACTTCGATATTTTATGCAAATATGTCTAAACTCTGGATTAGTAGGCTTAAAACAAAAATATCGTGATTTAACAATTTTTATTATTATTTGTAAATTTACGTCAGCAAATTTGAAGAGACAAATTGATATTTTCTATTATCTATCCTTGATTTAATAGGAATGGATGTACTGTAAGTATTTTATTTTTTAGTTACGAAATAATTTTATTAATTTATCATTAATGTTTACGAATAAACGTTTAAATTTGAAAAAAGAAAGAAGAGACAAATGGTTTTTGACACATTGTAATTCTTAATTTTTCCAAATTTTATTATTAAAAATTTAATTTTGTAATTAATAATACTCTAAAATTTGAAGTAGGAAGTATTAAGCTTTTTATTACATTCCTTAAAATTTTTGTTAAATCCTTTTTATGCTTTCTTAGTTACATTAGTTTATTTTTATTTAGTGAGAATCCAATTATAAAGATCGTAACCAGTGATGGAGAAGAAATAGAAATTTCCAAATCTGAAATTTGCGGAAAAAGTGAAATATTTAGTGCTATGTTGGAAGAAAGAGAAAACAAAAGAATATTTAGAATGAGAGTGACGGAAAGTTATGAATCTTTCTTAAACTTTCTCGGGTAAAATTTTAATTTCTCAATTAATTGATATTAAATGTCTTGGATACGTGTATAAAATTGAAGAAAATTAGAAAATTGGTCATGTAAACGTTTGCTAAAATTCTTTATAATACGTATTAAGAAGGTAAAAATATTAAGATTTATAAAAAGGAAGACAAATTTTTTTTAATTCTTTTTCTACAAATCCATTTTTTTTTAAAGTAGTAAGAAAGATGTCAGCAAATAGACATATTTTCTATTGATGTATAGAATTTTTGTTTGGCTAAGTATGTTGGTTTTTACTGGTTGTTTGTTGATTAGTGTAAATGTTTCTTTTAATAACAGTTAATTTTGTTCACTTTTTTTACACTGCTAGCCATTAAAATTGCAACAGCAAGAAGGAAAGCAAATAAAAAAAAAAGATATTTATTGTACATAAACAGTATGGCATAAAGACAAAATGATTAAATTTGTAAGCAGTTTGGGAGATTTACAGGGGCGCGAAATTAGTGGATACAATTGCCACCCCGGGGGCTAAAACGGCCTTTATCCCTTTAAGCATGGAGTCGAACTGGGCTTGGATGACAGAAACGGGCAAGTCATTCCATGCTGCTTCAAGTCTATGCCATATTTCATCAACTGTATTAGCAGGAGAGGGGTGGCGGGCCAGTCTCTCAGCAACCCATGACCAGATGTTTTCAATTGGTGAGAGATCTGGAGACCATGCAGGCCAGGGCAACAATTGAATATCCTCTGTATCAAGGAAGGTCAGAACATGACGTGCAACATGAGGTCTTGCATTATCTTGTTGGAAGATGGCATTTTGCAGGCCTCGAAGATAGGTCACAACCATTGGATGTAAGATGTCAGAAATATACCGATCTTCATTCAAATTACCATCAATCCAAACTAGAGATTTGCGTGTCGTGTACCCAATGGCTGACCATATCATCACACCAGGTGCAGGGCCCCTAAGCCAATATCAAAGTCTCCGAGCAGCACATCAGGTCTGATCGGAGCCTTCAAACATGTATACGGCCATCAGAATGCTGCACGCAGAACCGGGACTCGTCTGTAAAGACGACATTGTCCCACTCTTGTATCTAGCTTTGTCGTTGGGTGCACCAGAGTTGCCATCTCTCTCTATGCTGCATTGTCAAGGGAAGCCGAAGTAATGGTCACCATGCTGACAGTCCACGCTGCTGCAAACGTCGTCGCACCGTACGAGCAGATACTGGACGTGCTGCAAACAAGCTAATTTCCTGACTAATGGTCCGTGATGTGGTTGTACGGTTTTGCACGGCCGATCTCACAATGTGTGTGTCCTCTCGGGCATTAGTCATGGGTGGGTGTTGAGATCCTGCATGCTGTTCAGTAAGACCCTCAGCAACCCATCGATTCCATATTCACATGACGGTTGGATTTCGACCAGTGCGAGTGGCAATATCACGGAACGATAATCCACATTCTCGATAGGCAATGATCCTGCCTCTATCGAATTCCAACACTTGTTGGTAAGCATTTCTTCTTATTTGAGGCATAACACGATATTCTGATGAAACCGCGACCTTACAAAGTGATTTCCGAATGAGAAATCCACTGCACAACTTTTCTTTTATGCAGTGCTTCAGATGTCATTTGTTCCTCCTGCATTGTCTAAATGCACTGAAATACTAATCATTTGCATATCCCAACCTCCTCTTCCTTTCATATGATTTTGACGTTCATACGACCATTCCTTCCTGGTGTTGCAATTTTAATGGCCAGCAGTGTATTTAATTTTATTTAACAAATTTTTACTTTTATTAATTGGAAATGAAAGCTGCTATTAAGAGATGCATACATACTACTATTTATCATTTTGTATAAATATAATTAACTAGGAAATATTTTAAACTTTATTTTCTGTTTCATTACCGAGTTTGGCTGTTTTTATTCTGAAAATTCTAAATTTGCATTCCCTGATAATGAAAATTCAAGTAGAAGTTTAGCTCTTCGTTTACAAATCAAGAATGTTTTGTTTAAAAGCCGAATTTAATAATTTTTTAAAGTTTTATTATTAACTTGTTTTTGTGTCGTTACAATATTAAGTTTTTAATTCAAATTAGAAAACATTAGTCTTAAAATATAATTAGTCCATCCAGTTTTCCATCTCGGAGAGGCGGATTTTTATGTGCTGGTCCTCCGAAACTATTCTATTTTGAGCTCTCTCTTCATTTAACTAGATCTCCTTTAAATCTTTCCTAACTATGAATTTACAGTATTATTTGGTCTACTTCTCTTAGTTCCTAAGCTATTAATTTGATTAACCAATTCATCATTTAACAGGCTCAAGCTATCTAAAGCTATTTACCATAAGCCTTTCTGTAATGTCCTTTACTCCTAAATTCTCCGTTATATGATCTTTCTTAATAATAATGTAATACCAAACACAAACCTGAGCAAGGGCGTCCTCAGAGGGGGACAAACGCGGCACTTGCCTCCCCTGGAATCGAGAAAAAATTTTCACAAATTATCTTAACTGATCGAGACTTTATATCCACAATCATGAATATCAATCTATAATATACTACAACAAAATTTTTAATAATTAAATAAATATTTATTGGTTTTAATTGTCTCCAAGCTTTGTCTCATCCTGAAAAATTTTTAGGACGCTCCTGAACCTGAACATTTCTGCTACCTACGTGTTTTTTTACCTGAAATTTCTTCATTTAGATTCCTACAACATTACAATCCTAACAACAATTTTTTTTTATTTTTGACTTTCCTTTTAATCTAATTGGTACTATTTTATCACAAGGCATTCCACTTACATTCTGTCACTTCTGCACATTTTTATATTTATTGTGTGTCTAAACCTCTTCCAATCTCTAATATTGATCCTAAGCATTTAAAAATTTATTTTGTAATTGTATAAATATTCTGCTTTTCACAGATATATCGGAAGAGATGATGAGAGAGATCGATCCTTATGCGAATTATTAGATCTTTATAAGATGGTCAAAAAATACCAAATTCAAAAATTAATGGACAAATTTAAAATATTTCCGAAGCTAATAAATATAGAATTTGCTTCAAAAGCTTATAAATACGCTATAAAATTCAAAGATCTGGAATTACAATATTGCTGTTGGAAACTGTTTCGAGAATTTACTGATGATCACATCAAAGGAGAAGAATTTATCCATTCTGGAAAGAAGACAGTTGAAAGATTTGTTACCTGCCCGATTTACACTAATTTATCTGAATCATCATTATTTATCGGGCTGTATAGATGGGCTAAATTAAGAGTTTTGAATAATGGCTTTCTTCCCGAAATCTTTCGTATTAGAAATGAAATGGAGCCTTTTCTGTGTTATATTAGATTTTTGGTTATGACACGTGACGAGTTGGAAGTAGTTTTCAAAAAAGGTATCTTGAATGAATCTGAAATAACAGAAATCCTGAATTATTTCAGCAAGGTTGGCATCGTATCTGTATCTTGCAATATCAGTAATAATACCAAGAAGAGAAACATTGACGAATACTTTTGTTTGTTTGAATATCATAAACTTCGATGTTTCAAAACTGAAAAAAGGTCATTAACACCAAAAGATGATTTTTTTTGCGAATTGACAGTTTTTTCTAAATGCTATCTCCTTGAATTACATCTTCCTATATGTCATTCTAATCCATTTCCACTTGCTGTCAACGTAAAAATTTTCCGCGTAAAAGATCACTTGGTGACTAATTTGAACTCTACGAAGGCAACTTGCTCTGCTACAGGAGAAATAACTATACCTTCTTATACGATAGTTTTTGAAGGAAAGTGCCGATATATAATTAGAGCATATTTTATCCCCAAAATGAATCAAGATAATAAAGTAACTATAATGAGATCGCCTAATTATTACCACTTTGAAAACGAGAGTTTTGATAATGTTCGTAATAGATTATATTCATTTGTTACATTGTTTTTCTAATTTAAAACAGACTAATTATATGACAGATTTTCCGAATTTTGTATGTCTAAATGTTTGAGTAATAATATAAAAATCATAATAAAATTTCATTTAAAAAAGATTGCTTATCAGGCTTCGTTTTTTCGCAACGCGACACATAAGCGATCTGCCGAGGGGATACCTTCCAGGAGGACTTTCTATGAGAAACTGGTTCATATTAGCTTTTATTAACGCAAAGGAAACCCGGGAAATCCACGTGGCCAGCCCGTTGGCCTACAACCAATTAACCGACCTGTATTCAGTAAGTTTTATCCATTCGGCCACTAATGGGCTTATTTTAGTTTTTCTTATGGGTCTTTGTAATTTTTTAAAGCCGTCATGTGCATAGTAAAAAAACGATTGAAGGAATAAACAATAATGCTCTAGAAATAATAATTCAATATTTGATTTTATAAGATATTCACTGAATATTTTTAGACAAACTAGAAATTTTTTTTATGAAGCTCGGAAAAATTTATAAAATTTTTTCTAAATTTATCACGTACAGTGGGTGATCGATTAACGAACAGATCGAATAACGAACACCCTACAGAACAAACAAGAAGCGACGTAAAATAATGAATACCGATTGGTCTTCCTTTGTCGTGCGGGAGACGTCGACATCGACGTTCAAGCCGGTATATACCGATCGGATAGTATTCTTCCGAACTTTGAAATTCTCCCTTGAAATTCCAGCCTTTTATTTTTCTGACAAAAACAATTATTTTATAGTATTTGTGAGACTGTCGGGCGGGCACTCATTAAGTTTTGCATCAGTTTTTATTTTTGAAAGGTGAGAGTATAATAGCAAAAGGTGGGCAGAAGATGTCTTATGTTGTTGGGCAGTATGGCTTGAACAGGTGTACAGTAGGCCGCAGTTCAATCTTATCTATGAAAGATACAGTATAATCAAGAAGACTCAAGCAGCTTAAGGAGTAACAAAAATTACATCTGAGAAATAAAGAACATCGAAGAGTTCATAATGGAACCTGAAACAGGTCTGACGACAGAAGAACGCCAAGAACTCTTGAATGAAGAGCACCAAGAAACTCAGCGAGATATGTTTTCTTCTGAAAAAGAGAATTAATGCCGATATCTGTTATTAAAGATCCTTTGAAGAAGTGGGAGGATGCAGAACAACGGTCTTATAATGGCATCCAAACCAGGGGGAGGCTTGGGGATTTGTACAATTGCAATGCTATTAATTACTTACGAAATAACCTGAAGAGAGAAAACCCTCTTAGCGCCCACTGGGAGGAAAGAGTTAAAACAAAACAAAAAAAAAACCCCAGCAAAATTAAATAGCATTAATCCTCAATAAACAATCCTCCCTGCAAAATTTCAAAAATTGTCGACAAAAAGCACAGGAGTTATTAAGCTTCAAAGTGGGTGAACAAAATCGTGCCACACACCCAGACACGCACTAACATCCATACGTACAGAAAAATCCCCGAAGGGTTTTTGCATTTCTCGACGTTTCAAGATTCCGAGTCCAAAAATGTAAAAGTCATGGGGAGGGGTCATTTTTGATCGATCGCCATACTTTCCCTCTGTTATATATAACAGCCGGGAATGTAAAAAATATTGGGTAAATCTCAACCAAATTTGTTACACACACACTCCTTAGCATGCACTTTAAATTTTCGAAAAAATTACATTAAAATTCAGCCGCTAGAAAAAAATTTGGCGCTGTTGTCACCTTAATGTGAGCAATGTGTACTGTACTGTACTGTACGTTTGTAGAGAAGTTCGGCTGTGAAAGAAAGAACATTTAAAAACGGAAGACGTTTGAGGTTGTTGAATACAGTAGAGCATCGATTATCCGACCCCCCGATTAACCGTCACATCGGTTAACCGACCGTTCTAGTCGGCAAATTTCAAATGTCCGCTAGTGATGTGGCATTACAATATTTGGCTATGTCTTGGCTACTTTAATATTATTTTTGTTAAATTTTTGCGTGTTTTAGCTGGCATCAACGGCTCGACCATTGAAGGGAGGGCAGTATTTAAACGAGATTTAATTTTCTAATTATGAGTGGTTGTTTGTTTCGTGAGTAATAAAACAATTTAAAAATAATTTTTAACGATACAATAGCGACGATTATTATTTTAAAAAAAATTTGTTAGGCTAAACATCGAGCAAAATTCAACGCGAAGTTGGTTAATAGCGATATACTAATAAACTAATTACATGGGATATACTAATATCCTAATATACTCTACTAATAATGTATCTTTTCCCTTCTTTTCAGTTATCCGATTTTTTCAGTTATCCGACCAATCTGAGTCCCCAATTCAGTTGGATAATCGATGCTCTACTGTAATACTATCTACAGAGTATTTTCTCTTCACCAACTCTTTCATTATGATCACTCTGTATAACTACATTCTAATAAATACGAGAGTTTCAATATTTATTTTAAGCCCTTATTCCTTATTACATTTATTGATTGATTTGATTATTTTTCTAATTAAAAATTTCCAGGAATTTTTTATCATTCCAATATGTTCATTTTACGTGCTTTAGCTCACGACTTATACAGTCTATCTAAAAAAATACTATCCACATTCAGAATTGTGGACAAGTTAGCATCGGTTAAAAAAACTCTTTGTAACAGCTTCTTAACGAATAAAACTTTGCCAGAAACTTTTGAATTTCCTTCCCATCTCAATCAATCGCAACTAGGTGGAGTACGTGGTCAGAGTCACTAAATACCAAATACATCATTCAAAACAAGGATCTCCATATTTAAGCAATTTCAATATACTGTATATAGCGCTAAAACGCTGTTCATTTATTGTTTTAACCGGTTTAAAAGTGATTTAAAAATTTTCTTTAATTCACTTGAAAAAAATTTGGGATTCGGTTATCTGATGACCAGACACGAAACTCTCCTTTACGATGACTAATCATTCTTTTTAATACACTAAACATTAATAATGACGAGAAAAAATAAAGATGAGTAGGTTAAATTGTAAAAATGAATTCAACTAATTCCATATAATATGAAATGAGTTGTCAAACAAAACAAGCTGATCTCGCTCCAGTAGCCAGCAGTAATCACTCCTTCGTGTGTCTGTTCATTAGATACCAAATAAATTATAAGCTATGTCTTCATCACGTGTGACAACAATAATGTAATCTTCGAACATCATTTATTAACTTGATAAACATAAGTTTGATCCGATAGAGTACTTTTTCTTCCTATATTTTGTAACCACATCTTTCTTTTTTCCAAATTTTGGGTCCTTGAAAAAGTTTAGATAAATTGAAGCATTCTATAACAATATCAGGGCTCTTTTTTCATCTAAAACATTGAAATATACAGAGCACAACGAACGAAATTGAGCCTGCTGGCATGAACATGGCAAGAGTAGCAAGGAGGCACGAAGGAATGCGCTATTCTGTATAGGCCTATTTGTATATCAGGGTTTTGAACAGTGACCATAAGCAAAGGTTGGGGTCACTGACAACTTTTCCTTTTCCTCTGTTAAAATGGGTAAGAAGAAACATTACATTTAATGGTTTCCAGATGTGGAGAACGAAGGTACGGTAATGACATAAAGTGTGAAATTCATAGAAAAATTTTTTAAGAATAATTCCAAGCCTTTCCCAACAAGAAAAAATGGATTTAGGGGGCGTTGGAGTATGGTTAGGGAGCGGTGACTCGAAAAAGTTGGGGAATCACTGGGGTAGAGCTTAGAGTCACTGGAAGTAATTTCCGAGGTTGTGATTGATATTCAAAAATTAACCTGTTAGGAATGTACCAGATAGAAAGTAGGGATAAGAATGTAGGTAAAGTTAACGCAAAATTCTTCAGAAGATTCCTGGATTTAAGAAGTTACAAGTCATTTAGAAAATTCTTTACGCAAAATTGCTCTAAAATCTGTGAAAATGGCTTTTCTGAGATTCTCTTCTCTTACAAGACACATGCAAATGGCTTTTCTTAGATTCTCTTCTCTTGTAAGAGAAGAGAATCTAAGAAAAGCCATTTGCATGTGTTGCAGAAATAATTTAGGAACAAAAACTTAGGTCTGTTATCTGAGAAGATAACAGTACAAAATTCTTTTTACCAAAAAACTAAAAGTATTTTGTAACAAGGAGAAGTTCATAAATTGTGTCCGCATTTTCTTGAAATTTTTACTCTCACTTCTTCATTGTCCCAGTTTGTCCAAGTTTCATAATCTTCTCCCCTTTTCGGATTCCAACAAAACTCAACCACCCTCAAAACTTTTATACATTTTATCAGTGGCCGATTTAGCACTTGAGAGGCCCGAGGCGCAATTTAATTTTGAGGTTCCCGTCTAAATATTTTCGCTACCTCTTCACCCTATAGTGTGCGTTCTACGTGCACGTTTTTTACTCTGGTAGGCACTATACCGATGGTCCAAAAAAGGTGAGACATAGGGAAATAACATTAAAAATTAACTAATATAGAATTACAACTGCCTGGCTGTATTTTAAAAAGGTTACCGATGTTCAGATTGTATTATGAAAATTGAAATTTATTGGTACAAGAATTATTTTGTTTCAATAAGTAAAAGTGTTAAAAACGAAAGATCTAGTGTCGGGATATAAAAATCGTCTGGCACTCAGTTTTCCCGCGTTTTTATGAACGACCGTTGTCGCCATAGAAACGGCGATCAGACTATTTTGAAAACTCGACCGCTCATTGGTTAAAAGACATCAGACCATCGGCGGACGTCTTATAGAGCTGGTAAATGCTGATTGGTGGAATCCAATGCTGTTTCAATCCTATAAAAGCATTGAAGTTCTGGCGGGAAGTTCAGTTCGGCTTCGGACATTGGAAGTGAACTCACGCTGACCTTAGCTCGCCTAAGCTGTTTTAGAAGATTGCCTCGTCTTGTTGTGTTGTCGTGGACTTTGAATTTGTGCGTCGCAAGGTGCTTTTCGACGGACCTGTTGCAGTGGATGATTACCTCGAACTTTGTTAATATCTAATGTTTGTAATTCTTATATGTGAACTCTAATTGTAACTGTACATACGTTTATTTTCAATATACATTAAGTTTTAAATTTAACTGGCTTTGAAGTGTTTTTGAACTGACTTCTAGTAATCCATGGATATAAAAAATTATTTATTTTTAAATTTACTACTGATTTGTATTTAAAAAATCTAGTAATCTACGAATAATAAAAATTTATTTGTAAACAAGTAAAATGGCAAAGCCATTTTTGGGACGAGACTATGTTTATTAAACATTAAATATATATTGGAATATAATAATATCAATAACAATTTTTTTCGGAATATTAAAAACAAATACAGTAGAACCTCGATTATCCGCCCTAATTGGGGATTGGGGTTGGTCGGATAATTGAAAAGTCGGATAACCGAAAAGTATGAAAAAATCCATTATTAGTGTAGTATATTATTATATCCCATGTAATTAGTATATTAGTATATCGCTATTAACCTACTTTGCGTTGAATTTTCATCGATGTTAAGCCTAACAAAAATTTTTTAAAATAATAATCGTCGCTATTGTATCGTTAAAAATTAGAAAATTAAGCCTCGTTTAAATACTGGCTCCCTTTCATGGTCGAATGAGTGTTGCCAGCTAAAACACGTAAAAATAATATTAAAGTAGCCAAGACATAGCCAAATATTGTAGCGCCACATCACTAGCGGACATTTGAAATTTGCCGACTAGGACGGTCGGTTGATCGGGGGACGGATAATCGAGGTTCTACTGTACATCAGAACTATTCTCGCTTTAGCTTTAGCAAATTTATCAATTAGACTTTCATAATCTAATAGTATAATTACAGTATATCATTTTCTATAAACATCATAGACAAATGACTTAAATGGAGTTGAGATAAGGAATTTCTTAAATAATTATTAACTCTTTTACGAAGAAAAAAAATAATAATTAGATAACTTCTTTTAATTTTGAAAGCTGAATTTTGAGGTTCCTTTGATTTATGAGGCATCAGGCGCGCGCCTCGTGCGCTTGTTCAGAAATCCACCACTGCATTTTATTATTCATAAAGTGATAAACTGTATAAAATTTAATGAAATAAAACGGACGTCCATTGAAATTCAACCTCTTCCCTTCTCCTTGTCTGACTTGTCATAACCCCCTCTCTGCAGTGTGGACGTCATTTATGGACAGCCCCTAATCTCTTTTCGGAAACAATGTCAATCAATAAACGAAACTTTGATAACAATGAAGAGATTTTAGCAATGCACACTTTGTAAAAAGTAAAGCATATTTCAGTTGTTGTGATTAAACATTCCTTTACATTATTTAACATAAAAACTATCCATATTTCGCTATTTTTACGACATAAAAATCCCAACGTAGCGATAATAAATAAGCGATGATAGTTCTTATAATTATCCACAGAGGACACTCGACTACATGTGAATCGGAATTGTCCTCAATAACAGTAGAAGTTGCTGATAACAGTACTTTATTACCGAAAAGGTTAGTTTACATTATTCATTTCTATACATTGCATTTAAATAACTGAATACGTGACGTTACTCTATAAAATTTAGCGTAAATGTTTATTTTACACGCAAGTTCACATTTATAGATTATTTCAAGTCAAGTATAGTATTTTTGTTCTACTTTATTTCCGGTTTCGGTTTCGTTTTCGCTTTTCTTTTAGATAAAGAATAGATTCAGCAAAATAAAGCTTAAAAATGTCGAATTACTCCTTTACTTCTTTTAAATCCTCTGTAATAAAATATATTAATCGTACATTAATTTGATTGCGTAAGCAGAGAGTGTGCATATCAAATATCTTATCTCATGTAATGAATCAGATGAGAGAATTACTATCTTACTGTCTTTTACTATTTTTCTGTCTATTTTAATGGTCATTTCCATTATATGTAACAAGTTTAGCAATTTAGAAGTGAGAATAAATTACCATTTTTATTTATCAATTTTTGATTTGTTATATATGGGGGATACATAACAGATCAAACAGTTATGAATCCTGAAAATCCCAGCATAAGACAAATTTTCATAAATTGAAGATATAATTTACAATAGAGAAACCATTTAAGCATTTCTTGGATCTTCGGAAAACCATCTGGTTTTGTTAAAGCTCAACAGAAAGGCGAGAAAACAACATACCTATACATCTTAAATAAGTATTTGCTTAAATAAAGCACGTTCAAATAACAATCATATTTTTACATAAAGATACTAACTGTTAGAATAAATAAGAAATATTTCTGATAGTTTTATACAAAATTATTAATTTTCTCAAGGTTTGTTTGTTATCTTCTCTAATAGAGATGGATCTTCCGTCTTCGAAACGGCAAATTTACAATATGGCGCCGAGAAAATTAATAGCTTTCGATTCGAAAGTAAAGTGTACGTCATGTTGCATGTGATGTGCCAATGTTAAGGTAATTAGTTCAGTTTTGTCCAATAATGAATGAAAGTTTATCGATTGACATTTGTAGTTTCAGTAACTCTTACTGGTGCTCTGCATGTCAATAAATCACGTGATTGCAAATCGTTTTCCGAAAGGTAGTCAAAATTGAATTCAAAATTTAGTAACTTGAAATTGCGAATCAAATATTTAATTTGAGTAATGAAAAGAATAACCAAAGATTCTAAGAATTTTATTTTATTTAACATTTTAATCAGCATCAAGAAAATAATAATAAACCTTACATAAGTAAAAAGAAATTAGATTATAACATATATAGTTATATAGATAGAAATAGTTCGTTTAAATGAAAATTGCCATTATTGAAGTCCACCAGTGGCCAAGCGGTTCGGTTTCCTGAACACTGGTGGCCGATTGCAGAGACAGTTTACATTAAAAGAGGTTTATCAACGAACGGCCTATAGCCGTTGGCTGGCTGAACCGCAGTTTAAAATGCGTTGCAAAGACGACGATCGTCTATTTCTGACCGTTCTCTAAACGAACTTCGGGCAAAACATTGGCTCTTACTTACTTCGCTATTACTCCCCTGTTTTAGGAGTCGTTCGGCCAATCGGGTTATTTCATCGTGACGTTAGAAATGGTCGTCAGCTATATTCCGAAAGCTTCCAGAAATAAAATCTTAAGGCCGTCAAAATTATTGTTCGGCAATTAATGACAATCCTTTTCCATTTCAATATTTAATTTCGTCGCCAATACGATCTAAAATATGAACAAATCCATATTTAGAAAATTTATACCGAATTCGACATTCGTCTTCGGAATAGAATTTTAAGGAATTATTTCGACATCTTATTACTGTCGAAATGAATAATTTTAAATATTTTATTATTAATATTACTTTTTTTTATATCTATAAACAGATTTCTGTAATTATTAAAATTGTCTCTTTTGTTTAACAGTACAATGACTCGGAAATGCATTAACGTTTTATAACCGACACGATACTCGAATTGTAAATAAATGCATCTGATTTAAATTAAATTGAAGTTTTAAGTCTTCACCCATTTGAATGTCAAAATTGGAACATTTAAAACAAATTTAAAGTATCTAATTTTGTTGTTTTTGCACCGAGCAATTAATTAATGAATAATTTTGTCGATTCGTACCGTTTACAACATTTATCAAAGGAACGAAATCCGTTTTTATCTAAACTTTTCCACGAACAAAGCTACCACTCGAATTGAAAAGCCCTCTAAACCTGCTGTCCAGTGAGTCTAGAAAGTAGGTCAAATAACTTGTTTCTAATCGCTGTCGACATTGTGGCAGGCGAGAAACGCCGTCTCTGCAATGAAATTTTTCTGAACAGCGGTCTACCCGATCTGTAAACCGCCGTCGGCCTCTAAGCTTTGTCTCTGCAATCGGCCCAGGGAGTTTGGTCGTACGTTCGCGTATCGCCAGGACGGGCTGGCCACTTGGCGTTTTCTCATGTCTGTAATGCCTAAATAGGGGTCAGTTACCCTTAAAAGACCTCCCGGCAGGCATCAGCCAAGTGTTGCGTTTCTATAACTTAATAAAACAAAACAAAACAAGCCATTCTTTATTTGATGATATTTTTTTCAATCTGAGATTGGTAATTTCAATTTGTAGTCTTTAAGACTGACGTTTCTAAAGGTGTCGCCCTTTAGAACCCTTTTGCACATTACATATGCAAAGTTTTGAAAATTATTAAATATTTTTTATATAATTTATAAAAAAATAATACTTTCTAAACATTCATTGCGGCTACCTTGAAATCATCTCGTAGGTGACTGCATAAACTGCGAGTCACGGGTTCGCCATCTCAGATCTAAATAATACTTAATCTACGTCTTGAAATATAGAAAGAGACATTTTTCAAACAGTTTAAAAATCGGGACAGCATATTAAAAAAAGCAGGACTAACCCGCCCAATTCGGGAGTCTGGTCACTTTAGCTGACACCTTAATCGCCTCGGCCATTCGGCTATCAATCAACATGTAAAATGTCCGCTTGACATCGAATTAGCAGTTGTGGTTCTTAACGGTAAATGTTAGACTTAATAATTAAGCTATAAATAACATTAGTATATAATATACTGTATAAGCAACGCAAAATATATTTTTAAAGTAAATATAGTTTTGAAGAAAAAATAATAAATATAAACATGGCCGACGGTATTACAACGGAAACAAAGTATTGTTAAACGTTGCAATTTTATATTTTTTATATTTAATTAAATATAGTTTGTTGGGCTGCAATTTTCAAATTGCTGATTTATACATTCCTACCGTCGTCCCTCTGTCCGTCCATCCTTCGTTATTCACGAGAACGGAGTTAGATAGATGAAAATCGAGACCAGATATGAAAAGCTTAGGACAGGAGGTCCGATTAACTACTGACTTCCGGTCTGGACAATAAGTCACGTGAGTTAAATTCAAACATTTTTACCTTACTATATAGAGCGATAAATTTGGCATAGAATTGATCCTTAGGATAAATTGAGATCAATAATATATCATTCGACCTCTAAGATATTTTATTTTTCACGTGACAGAAATCGCACATTTTCTGTCACGTGAAAAATAAAATCACAGATTCAGAATTTCACATTCAGCATCAAAATTCATATTTATTTTTAAATTAAAATATGATTAAAAATTGCAGTCCAGCATTGTGACGCTGTCACAATAATCTAGTTATTATAATATTTGGGCTATATAAAATAATATAATTTATTATTATTTTTTTTTAAAGTAGAAATGGCTTCTTGGCAGTCAGAAATTAAGGCTATTTCCAATTCGCTAAAACATATTTTAGAATTCAGTGACTTCTCAGACGTGACTTTTACCTTTGGAGATCCACCTAATCGGAAAAAAATCAAAGCTCATAAATTAATTCTGGCTATGAGGAGTGATGTATTTCAAAGTATGTTTTATGGATATTTACACGAAAAAGATAGAGAAATATTTATAACAGATATAAAAGAAAATATTTTCGAATTTATGCTAAAGTAACGTATTCCTAATTTAATATTACTGTATGCCTTTTATGTTATATTCAAATTAAAAATTTTTTAAAATAATATTTAGATATATATACACTGACGAATTACAATTGGAATCACCTGAGGAAATTATCCAAGTCTACTATGCAGCTCACAAGTATCACATTCCTCAACTTATGTATTTGTGTAGAGAAAAGATTCAATCGAAACTTAGTGGGAATAATGCTTGTGAAATTTTTCAAGTGGCTCTACTTCTCGAAGACGAAACTTTGTTAAATAAATGCGAAGCGATAATTCCGAGATATACAAAAGAAGTATTGGAATCAGAATCGTTCGTAAAACTTTCCGCCGATGCATTAAAATATCTAGTTCAGCAGAATAAATTAAATGTTTCATACGAATCAGATATATACAAAGCAATATTAAAATGGGCCAAATATCAGGTGAGTGATGACACCCAGCAACAGTCAATAGAAGAGGAAGAGGAAGAGAATGAAGAAGAGTCGTTGAATAAAAACGTCAATACTCAAAAAGAAAACTGTAAGCAAATTAGATCTTTGATGATTGCTTTCCTCCCATATATTAAGTTTCTCAGTATGAATTTAGAAGAGTTTTTTAAATTGCCTGATTTGCTAAAAATATTTTCGAAAAAAGAAATTGTACACGTAGCCATGAATATTATAAAACCTAGAGAAGTTCCTTTACCGTTTTGGTGTAGTGAGGAAAGAAAAAAATAAGTGAAAAGTTTTTTGTATTAAAATTCATTAAAAATCATGAAATAAAAACTTTGTTTTCCTTGTAATATTTATTTAAATTTAAGTAGTATCTGATGCACTGACTTGTGATCTAGATAGTTGGGATTCAATTTTCTGGAATAAGCAAAGAAATATTTTTCAATAATAATAAATAATTCAAATATCAAGTTCGATGGACTGTAATTGGGCAAATCATTCAGTACCGGAGTTTGAAGCCCGCATTTGTGTCGAGATTGACTGGAAGTTGAGGGACTGAAGCCGATTTATTCCACACCCCTCTGCCTAAAGAACTCAGGCACAGCTTCCTCATCCACATAAGTCTCAGAAACCGCTAACATTTATGTTAATAGAAATAATGGCAGCTTATGCCCACAGTTGCAAGCTTCGATTCTAGGAGACTCGTCCATCGTCTGACTTGCCTATAATATTACAAGGCATTTTCTAAACGCATTATTTAATAAAGCAGTTAATTAAAAATTGTAAAATATAAGATTTAATGTTTTAAAATAAAATTTAATTAAAAAATTACGTAAACACAAATGGATACGTAAATTATATTAATCCGTAAACACGATAAAAACTTAATATATAATTAAAATTAATTGTTCTCAACGTGTAGACAAAAGTTTTTTTTATATTTTTAGACTAGGAGAGAAAGTAAAGAAACCATACTAGACAAAATAAGGTTTCTTTACTAATAAGGCACAATAAGGAATACTTTACTAAAAACAAAATAAATAAATTAAATTTATCTTATTAATTTTTTCTACTAGTCATTTTTTGGTGAAACAGCATTAATTATGTATATCGTGTGTTGTTCCAATCCTCCACACAAAAAATTTTTTTTTATCAATCTGCAAAAGGATACCACTAAAAATCTGTTGGCCGTTACTCTTGTAATGGTTTTTCTCGGCGTGCCTTTATCATGCTACCTGCATTTCTTTCACAAAAACAAATATTTACAAAAACCCGAATAAACAAATATTTTACGCTTTCAATTGTATCATAAACACAACACTGGCAATCCGACTGGGATCAAATCATGCAGCATGTCACCCATAACTTTATCCCTGACTTACAGCAGTACCTTGCTATAAGGTGGTACACCCCTGACTTCTATGTCAATCAAATTTTAACCGGACATGGGAAATTTGCTAATTACCTTGCGAGGTTTGCAAATGGCAACACTGATGTATGCCCCGTGTGCAACGTCAGGGATGGTCCAGAACACTACCTGTACAACTGCATAATTTTTGAAAGNCTTATTAATTTTTTCTACTAGTCATTTTTTGGTGAAACAGCATTAATTATTTTTACTCTGTATAAAAGTATTTCTATCATATTTTTAATTTTATTGTGAAGAAGCTATGCAAATTTTCTCGTAATCGTTATGCAAATTATCAGCATTCGCCTTGTAAGTGTGAAATTGACGTACAGGATATAATAAATTTTTAAAAAATTACATCGGATTATTTCGAAGAATATCATACATTTAAAATGGCCTCAGAGTAAGTAATACTATTTTAATTACTTTTCTCCCTTCAATAATATGTTCATTTAAATCTTAGTATTTATGAATGAGTAAAAATTTTCTAATACATAATATAATAATAATACTATAAATACTTGTGTTTAATAATGAAAACGTCTTTATAATTCCCACACATTTCTATTAAAAAATAAAGACTACGCCTAAAATAATAATAATAATAGTACTGATTATTTAAAACGCGCAGACTGCATTAAATTTTTTTCCCTAATCGCAGTTACATATTTACAATTAATTTACAGTGACGATACAACTGTAACAATCCTAACACGTGATGGAATAGTAATAGAAGTAGACAACTCCATGCTTTGTAAAGAAAGTGAGACATTTCTTCACATTCTGGCATCTGATGATTACGATGGAAGATCTAGAATTCGAGTGAAGGAAGATTATAAACGTTTTTCAACTTTGATTAAGTTCGTAAATTATGAGTAATTTGATCATACTTTGATGCTTAGTTATATTTCATGCTTTTAATTCTGTTTTTGATTCTTAAATCTGTTTTTATTACTTTAATGATTATTTCATTCTATGGGTATTTCCAGGTTTTAGTTATGATGATAAGTAAATTAGGCTATTATAACAGACTCTCCTAAATCATTTTAACTTAAAAATTAAAATGTAATGACGTAGGCCTACCGTGTGTAATTAAATATTAATCACATCCAGATTTTATTATGTATATACAGTATTAATGTTAATTACACTTGCTTTAGCCAAAATGCTTCAGAAACTAAACCAAAATGAATCTTACTAATTTGAGGATGCTGAATATGAACTTGGTAATAAAAATTTACAGTTGGCTTTAGTGTTAAATATTTGATTAGCAACTACTTTGACGTAACGTATTTTTCTGTATCGAGGAAAAGGTTCTTATAGTTACTTACATGTTTCATAAAGAACAAACTCAAAAATTGGATTCCTCTTAAGGCAGACGCGTAGTAATTCATGCTTTTAGTGGGTCAAATGGACCATTTGTTGGGCAATAAAAACCATATATGTTTTGTACATTACTAATCTTCGCAAAACGCACTGGTAAATATTTGTTTTTCATTTTAAGGTGATTTCTGTTTCTCACAGGGCTCAAGTTTAATGAGCCACTCCCATTCTTACAGATATGTCTTTAAATAATTGTTTTCTTGAAAACACAACTTTCATCAAAACAGTGTTGGAAAAATTTCAGAATAACAAAAGTTAGGAGAGAGAGATTCATCAGTGGCGTATAAACGATAGTATGTATATAGCAAAATTGTGCAAAGTGACACACGGATCTGGTTGAATAGAAAACAGATTCTAAAATTTCAATGAATGACTTTATCTTGTTTAATTTGGAAAAAAAGGAAACTGAAAAATCCATCCACGTTCTCTCCATGTTCGGCAATTTCTGGAAAATTTTCATTACCGGGCAATTTTGCTTGGTGATTTTGTCAAGCGAGACTTTAGTTGTCATGTTTACTTTGTGGGATCAGTAAACTTGTACACATAGTTCTAGTCGCTCTTTTTTCCAGTTTATCCACAAGTGAGCATAGTTTGAGAAAATGACCCACAAGTATATGAATAATGTGGACATTTTTTATTATTATATTTGGGGAAAATTGATGTTTGCTACCAAAAAACGAAATATCACGCCTCTAGTACATACAGCATATCATCTATACTGTGGTTATAAGATCTGTGATTATGATGAAGCATGGGTCCAAAAATGTTGCAACCATTATGCAACAATAATTTTTTGAACGCTTCTTTCTTTCGGTCATTGACAATGCCTTTTTCTTATTTCCACTCCAAGGAGGAAACTCGAAGATCACGAACTGTATATAGTGTATTTTATTAAAATTGTATTAGTTTTGGAAACCTTAGATATTTATTTTAATATCATTTTCGAATTCAGCACGTCAAAATCATTAGTAATCGGCCGATTTCGTTTCTGAAGCAAAGAATGTTCTTAAAATTTGTAGATCAGTGTAATATTTATTATTAATTGGATTAAATGGTTTTCTTTTTTAAAAATCGACTTTTTAAAAATTTTTTTGCTAATGAACATTTTTAAAATTAACCTAAAGAATTTTAAATACTTTTTTAAAATGCATTTTCGCAGTCAATATTTTTTTAAAATAATTCATTTTAATTCTCTGTATTAATAATGGATTGGATTCTGTATCTTTTGTTGTTATTGTTTTTAGATTCTATGTTTTTAACTGTAAATATGCGCTTTTTTGATTTTTATATTAATATTCTTGTTCTTATTTGAAGTACTGTACTATAATACGTATATTGTTATTCCGAAGTTTAAATATTCTAACTTATAATAAAACATTGGAATTTTATTCTCTCAATATTTTAATGTATTTTAATATAAATTTATATTAGAAATAATTTTTTATATTATGCCTAATAAAATTTAAGTAATATTTATATCTTATTTCGCACAGTTTTATGAAAGGAAGAGCAATAGAGATAAGAACATTTCATGACGCATTTGAAATTTATAAACTCTGCAAAAGGTATAAAATCAAACTGTTGGAAGAAGATTCAAAGAACTACATCATGGCATCAAGTACAGAATTCATAACAAAAATTTATGACGCTGCCGTAAGATTCGGAGATTTGGAATTTGAATATTATTGCTGGAAACAGTTTCGAAAATTTACCGATCAACGTATTAGAGGAGAAGACTTTATTTATTCGGGAAAGAAAACAATCGAAAGATTTGTGAATTGTCCGATTTACTCCAATTTATCTGAAGTCTCCTTGTTTAGGGGATTGTATGAATGGGCTAGAATGAGAGTTTTAAACAATGGCTTTCTCCCAGAAGCCAAACTTATTAGATATGAAATGGAACCATTTCTATCTAAGATAAGATTCTTGAGTATGACGCGCGAAGAAATTGAAGAGATTGTTCAGACAAAAATATTGAAGGATAATGAAATAGAAGAAATAATGTCTAAAACTATTTCCCCCATAACATCCTTACCTGCCAGTATATGTCAAAATGACAAGAAGAGAACGCTTCTCGAATATTCCAATTTATTTCGTTACTATAATAAGCATGGGTATCCTAAAAGTCTGGAACGATTACTGACTAAAAAGGATATGTTCTTTTGCGAATTATCAGTTACGTCAAGAGCTTTCCCACTTAAATTTCTTCTTCCTATAAATCATTGTAATCCAGCTATGCTTTTAGTTAATATAAATTTTTACAAGTTAAAAAAACTAAAAACGATTCACCTAGTCTCCACAACTGGACATTCTTCCCAAAATGGAGAGATAAATCTATATTCTCCTGTTATAGCTTTAGAAAGTGCATCTCATTATTTAATTACAGTAAAATTTTCTCCTAATATGATTGATCCTGAAAATAAAATTACTATAATGAGAACTGCTCAGTATTATATTAAACCAGATGATACCTTCGAAGAATGCTCGAATAGATTATGTTTATTTACGGAATTATATTTTTAGTCCGACAATTATTATATTCTAATTTACTAATCTAACTACTTATTGCTGAAACATATATTAAATGTACGTTTTTTTTTTTTGAAATAAAATCATGCAATGTGGAATTTAATAGTTCTTCCTCTAAAAATTTCGAATTATGTATTGTTTTTTATTCCTACAAATTTGTTTACTGAAAAATAAATGTATTCGTTTCAAAACTCTCTATTCTCAATATTGACTCTTTCTGGGCTGCAATTTGAAAAAAATTGTAGACCTAAAATTTCCACTGTCGGCTGTCTGTCCTTCATTAATCTCGAGAATGGAGTTAGATAGATGAAAGCCAAGATCAGATACGGAAAGATTAGTGGAAAGAGAACCTCGAGAGAAAAAGTATGATGTACAGGGGCAAAACGCTACTAATTTGAGGTGGAGAGCATATATTTTAAATAAATTTTAAAAAGTATGATTAAAAATTGCAGGTCGGCATTATGACGACGTCACAATGAATAATTGTTTATTGGTATTTTTTAAAATAACATCTCAAGAAATGGCGTCACACACTATTTAACTTTGAGATGGTGTCAAAGTGGTTTTTAAAGTTAAATATGTTTACACGGAGAATTTTTTTTTATCATAATTCAACAAAAATACTCCTTATAAACTTTTTAATTAATAAGAAAAGCTTAAATTCTAGTACAGTTGAAAATTATCGGATTTCCTAATGGTCACCCTAGCCTCCTGTTGGAGTGCCAAGAAAGCGAAGTAAGAGAGCCCTTGACAAGTTTTTCTCATTTCGAGCGTGTTTGTTCGATGTTTCTAATAAGTAATATTTTATCTAATAATAATGCAAAGATCGGAAAGTACAATATTTGATAATTAGAAGAGTGCACAACTGCCACAGATGCCGGGCTAAAAAATTTTGCATGGTTCTTGATAGGATATTTTTATACAATGAAAAATATATTAATGCTCAATATAATACTGCATAGTGAATTTTATTATATACGTATGATTTTTTCACTTAATTTTCATATAGTTTTACTACATCTTGGAAAATATTTAAAATATACATTTTAGTGAACACTACTGTAAAACTATACGCAGCAAAAAAAATATTATTATAATCTATAAAAAGCTAGAAATGATGTTTCTTCCTTACATGAAAAAATACCAGTAATTATATTAAAATTTAATCTGCTCTGGCAGTTAATTGACCTAAGAGCGTTTCTTATTTTTGATACGAGATAAAGTAAGTTCTGATGTTTCAGCGAATTGTTTTCCAATCTCCGACTCATTTTAGAACTAAAACATACCGCTTTAAATGCGTAAGAAATAATTATATTGACTGCACGTTTCTTATACTTATAATTATGAATGAAAATAATAAAAACAAATAAAAATATAATAAAACTAGCAGATAGGTCCGGCGTTGCTCGTGCAAAAAGTAACAATAGCAAAGATTAATTAAGATTATTACGTTATAGTCAACCTTACCCGTTTTCACACAATGAAAGAATTGGGTCCCCCTGTTTCCAGACTAATTAGAGAATTTTTAGATGGGTCTAAAAATATGTTCAATTTCCCGCAAAAACGAAAAAAACTGCATCTGCGTCTTGCATGTCGCTTTTTCTTAACACTTCCATTGTTATGTAACGCTTCCATTGTTGATGGAAGTGTTAAGCCTTAAATCCTGTCTCTCTCCCCCGTGGGGAAGAATTTCAAAAAATCCCTTCTTAGTGTGCGTTCCCGTGACGTACCCTAACCATGTACCAAATTTCAACTTTCAACTCCTAACCGTTTGGGCTCTGCGCTTATTATTATTATTATTATTATTATCATCATTATCAACCCGTCTCGATTATATATATAGATTCTTAGAACACATTATTAATAATCCAACAACGAGTTGCTCAACTTTCCGGGCACGCTCATTTAGAACTACGTGTGACGCCATCTGTTATATTTTATTAAACTTTTTATAATTATTATAAAATGGCAAATGCTTAATTTTGAGGATAGAGATGAGTTTTATAAAAATTTGTAAATGTTAATAACGAGTAAAATCTTCATTAAAGTCTACCCTAATCGAGATATGACACACGACTACCCTTTATTTCCCCATCTCTTGACCTCTAACCACCAAAATTTGGACCCGGGATCGAATCCGGACGGGTCAAGGAATTCCCAGAAATTTTTCGGGGGTTGGTCCGATTGGATATGTTGACCTCCATCCTCACCACCCAGTTGTCCTATTATGGCCCCGGCCGAACCCATAATGGGCATGCTAAATGAGGCCCTCAGTGTCCACAGGGCAAAAAGAGTTAGAAAAAACCCACCAAAATTTAATAGCATCAATCCCTAGTACACAATCCTCCCTGAAAAATTTCAAAAATTTTCGACAAAAAGCACAGGAGTTAAGCTTTAAAGTGGGCGAATAAAATTGCACCCATACTCACATACATACAGAAAAAAACTTGCCCACCAATGACCTAGTGATAAAACCACTGAACACTGGTCGTGGGTTCGCGCTTCACCAATAGGCTGGCCACGGGGAGTTTTTCGGGTTTTCTTTACGTTAGTAACACCTAAATGGTAACTTTATGGAAACTGGCAATAAAAGGGCCAGTTTTCCATAAAAAACCTCCCGGGAGGCATTTCCCCTCGGCAGGTTGCCCATGTGTCGCATTGCCTTAAAATAATAAAACTAAAAAGAGAAAAACCCCAATTCTTTTTCGTTCTTGCATTTCTCGAAGTTTCGAGGTTCCGAGTCCAAAAATGCAAAAATTGTAAAGGGTCATTTTTTAACCAATTGCCATACTTTCCTCTGTTATATATAACAGAAATGGGAAAGTAAAATTTGAAATGTAGTATTTATGTTCTATAGATTGTTAAAAAGTTATTATAACTACAATACGGTTTGAAATAAAGGTTGTTTTTTTTAATTCTCCTCTCTGTGGGGACTAAACGGTCCTGTTTCTTAGCAAGCCCATCATGAGTTCGGCCAAGCTCATAATGGGGCAGGAGGTGTGGGACGGGGCCCACTTATCCAGACTGGCTACTCCCCGAAAAATTTTTGGGATTTTTCGGCCTCTCAGGATTCGATCCCGAGTCCTCCAGAACTGCTTTCCTAAACACGCCATCCAGCCTTTATTAGGCTGGATGGCGTGTTTAGGAAAGCAGTTCTGGGGTTTGTACTATCACGTTTCCGACCGGATTTAAGTCGTAATGTCATCTGAAACGTTTCGAGAGCAAAATAAATCGTGGTTTAGAAAACAGAAAATTCAATTTGATCTCGGCGCGGAATCGTGGTTTAGAAAATTGAGAAAACTCAATTTTCTAAACCACGATTTATTTTGCTCTCGGCAAGGCGACACATGGGCAACCTGCCGAGGGGAAATGCCTCCCGGGAGGTTTTTTATGGGAAACTGGCCCTATTTAGGTGTTACTAACGTAAAGAAAACCCGAAATTTTTGACAAATGGAAGTTTGCGCATTGCGTTAGAACTAATAACTGATAAGAACTGATCAAAAGCTTATAAGGAGGAGTTTAACGTCGCTGTTTTTACTCCGATAAATGCAATACTGTAATTATAAACCAAATTAATCATTAACGTTCCTATTATTATGACAACGGAGACACGCAATTTAAAGAGATATTAGAATGTTAAACATGCAACTAGAATACGGTTATCCATATTTACAACCTAAATTCGAAATTCGGGATAACATTTTCCTTAAGCTTCAAAGTGGGTGAACAAAACCGTACCTTTTTTGTCATTTTTAAAATAATTTGATTGAGGTTTACAGGTATGTAACTTGCTAAGCAGTTCCTCCGTTACAGATGAAGTTTGGATAAACCTGCTAACCTAATAATATGAACCAGCCGGCCGGATGGTCGAGACGGTTAAGCCGCCAGCCTATTCTTTGTGGACCTGGTATCAAATTCGGGCGGGTTGAAAAACTCTTAACATTTTTTCCGGGGTAGTCGGTCTTGTCTCGGTGTCTTTGGATATATGGGCCCCCTCTCACCATACTGTCATCCCATTACGGGTGTCCGTATGGTGAGGGAAGAATCCTCTTAGTGGCCACAGAACAGAAAAAAATTTAAAAACTAGTGTGAACCGGTCCCTAAATGCTTCTATTAATATTTCTGCAGCCATTTTGCATCTGAAAATTATAAGAACATAGTCATTGATTTCGAAGTTTGCGTATATGTTTAACAGTATACAGAATCCAAAGAAATTACAAAATTAATTTTGTGATTTTTCTTTTGATATTTGTACTTTTCAATGTAGAAAAACTAAATTTATAGTTGAAAGTAATTGAATATAAAATTCATATAATATCAAATATGTGAGTTAATTTATAACTAATTCAATAATCGACTAAAGCTTTTGACATTATTTGAATAATTTCAGACATTTTGTAAGTAAACTAGATTTAATTTTAAACTTTAGAATGATTACTAAGAGATTCTCCAATGAGTTTAATAAGATGGCACATGTTTTAATACGTCATATTTCTGCAAAATAAAAAAATAAAAAAGAAGTTAAGCCGAAATATAAAATATGTAATACAGTATAAGTTTACAGTTGCGGTTATACAACTGTGATAAAAAATATTTTTAAATAATACAAATGAATTATAGTTTTTAAAGTTTTATTTAAAATGTAAATACGCAAGCAAAAATGTATGCAAATTTTGCAAAAGGACGTAAAACATAAAGTAATGTAATTTCAAGCTAAACTTTTTAATGTATTTCATTGGAAATATTAAAGTGAATCGAAATATTTTTATATAAAATATTTTCTAAAAAATGGATGAGTAAGTAACTTAGTTTTGTTCTTCGAAAACATTTATTAATTATCTCGAAATTGTTATTTGTATGTTAATTTAAATATTGTTATTTTAATTTTTTATTTTCGAAATCTTAACGTTTTATTAAAAGTTGTTTTTAAAAATTATATTATTTAAAATGTTTATAAAACATTCAAAATTCTCCATAAGTGTTATTTCCACAATTAACTTTTATTTTATTATTTTAGTAGGAACGAAACGATAATGATTTTAACTAGTGATGGAAAAGAAATAAAAGTAAACAAATCTTATCTTCGTGACAAAAGCGAGATATTTCGTCAAATGTTAGCAAATAATAGAATATCGAGAATCAGAGTGAAAGAATGCCACAAAAATTTCTTAACTTTACTCAAGTAAGTGGTTTTTTCATATTTCACTATCATAAAAATTCATAAAATTTTTATTATAGTGTCTAGCTTTACTTATCATAAAAGCATATAACATATCTGCGCAAATTCATATGAAACATATGTTGCGTTTGGATGTGTTTTATTGTCGTATGTGGGGCATGCATATGAGTTTGAATATACTGTATATTATACATCTTACTACGTAGTGTTTTTCAAATGTGAAACACTATACAGTAAGATGTACAATAAATTCATTCACATTAGTTCAGGAAATATATTAAAATATGAGGAAATTTGAATATATTTTGTATTAGTGTTTTACAATAGAAGAAAATCTACTGTATATAAATTGAAAAAGTAAGATGTAAAACAAATATTAAAGCATTTCTTATTCATTTTTGAATTTTATTTGTTAAGTCAAAAAAAAATGCAGCTTATACAAATTATTTATTTATTATTAGTTTTAGTTTTTCTAGTTATTAGTNGGACGACAGTGGAATTTATAGGACTAAAATTTTTTCAAATTGCAGTCCAAAAATCAAATATAGTCAACCATAATACCATTAGAATTAAGCAATTCTGGCAAACTTCAAACACTTAGTTTGGATACCTACCAAAAAATAATAAATTAAATTCTCTATCGATTGTTTTTGATCTCAAAATCACTTCGTTCAGCAGGCACTCTTTTCATCATTGATCAGTCTACTGATGTGATGGAGATTTGCTGGTTAAACTCTACTTCAGGGTTTTTATGAATTTGAGTAATTGCCTTCTGATTGGCAAGTTATTCTTCATTTTAAGATGTTAGATTGCTCCGTAAGTTTAATTCAACTTACATTGCTCCAAACAATTAAAAATGTTTACATTGTTGTTAAAAATATCGTACGTTAACTATACATATAATTACTTTTATTGTTAGTTTGAAATTAAATTAGTCTGTATAATTACATAAATAAAAATTTATATTATATACTGTATATATTTATTTTGCAATGAATTAGTGCATATATATATGTATAATATATATATATAATATACAT